TAGCAGGGAAACAGACAGCAATAGAAACTAGGGATGCACCGATACCGTTTTTTCCGGTATAGAGTACGAGTACCAATATAATGCTTTCGGTACTCGCCGATACAGATTACAGATACCGGTGCTTCCGCTGGCATGGGGCAGGAAACCAGGCGGCCGGTAATGACATGCCGTCTGGCTTCCTGATTGCCGGGGAAGCCGGCTCCATGTTGTTTGGCTGGCTTGATTGTGATCGGTTGAGAAACTGGCTTCCCAGCCAATCAGGAAGCGGGCTGTGAGTAATGACCCACCTCCTGATTAGCCAGGAAGCCGGCTCCATGCTGATTGTTCGGGAAGCCGGCTTTCAGGAAGACAGGATCATTACTCGTGGGCCATTACTCGCTGCCAAGCTTCCTGATCACACGGTAAGCGGGCTCCATGTTCCCCTACGGCAATGCCGGTCAGAGGAAATCTTCCTCTGACCGGTAATTCCGGTATCGGAGCATTGGGAAGGTATCAGAGCATACTCGTACTCGCCCAAATACGCGGTATCGGCACCAATACCAGTATCGGTGCATCCCTAACAGAAACCATACACACCCTATCCAAAAAATTTTTAAAAAAGTTTTGGCTTTAGATATACTCCAACAGGGGTAGACAACCTTGGCACTCCAGCTGTGGTGAAACTACAAGTCCCATGAAGCATTGCAAGACTGATAGCCCCAGGCATGATTCCCAGAGGAAGAGGCATTATGGGATTTGTAGTTTCCCCACACTTGGATTGTCGAGGCTGCCCACCCCCTGCACTATCACCTCTTCATGTCAGTACCTCCCACCCCTACAGTTGCGCCGCCACTGCAAACATCACATGGTCCTTTGGATCGGCCTTTTTGGTTTCACCAATCATCCGAGTCATCGGTCGTACCAGAAGATTCAGGTTCCACATTTGAACGTTTCTTCCTATTGTGACCCCTGTAGTGCACATCCAGAATATACTTCCTGCCGAACGTCTTCCCACACTTGTCACACTCGAAGGGCTTCTCCCCGGTGTGTATCCGTAAGTGCCTACTGAGGTGAGCTTTCCGGCTGAAGCTTTTCAGACACTCGGGACACTTGTGCGGCTTTTCCCCTTGGTGGATTTTCTGGTGTCTCTTCATGCACGAGGAATAGGCAAAGCTCAGTTTGCATTCGGGGCAGGCGAAGGGCTTCACTCCAGTGTGGGACCTCTCGTGGGCTGTAAGGTGGGCCTTGTTGACGAACTCTTTCTTGCACTCGGAACATTTAAAAGGCCTTTCCCCTGTATGGGTCCTCTTGTGCTTATACAGTTCCTGGTTGTCTCGGAAGCTTTTGCCGCACTCGGGACATTTATGGTGCTTCTTCCCGGCATGGAGGTGTTGGTGTCTTCTGTAATGGCCGGCTTGCTTGAAGGTCTTCTTGCACTTTTTGCATTTATACAGTTTCTCGGGAGGATCCTCGGCTTCACTCAAGTACCCGTCACTGCTGGAACTCTCCAAGGCCTTCAAGTCCGACCTGCGGTCTAACTTTTTCGAAGACTTTCTCAGTCTCTTTACTTTTTTTTTCGGAATCTCAGGTTCCGGACCTATACTGCTGTCTGAATCCATTTAATTATTGAGCTCCCGGAGGTTCAGCTCACCTTCTAAGCAACATAGGGCACTTCTATTGGATGTATCTGATGTCCTGGCTTTGATAGGACAAGCAGATGGTGGCTACAAACCAATGGGCTGCGGAACGTCAACGTTGTCTTCTCCTTGAGGTTGTTGAGTTGTCAGTCACAAGCATGAGTCCGACTCAGAGTTTACTTCTTTAGTTCTAAGATCTTTCTTTCTTTATCTGCAGAAACAAAATGGAGACGATGGTTAGGAATGATCTACGCACTGTAGAGCAGAAATTCAGCTGGATTATTTTTTCTCCCTTTTAGTTCTGGAAAGGGAAAGGGTTCCACTCAGGATCCTCGGCTTCACTCAAGCACCCATCACTGCTGCAATTCTCCGATAGCTTGAAGTCAGAGCTGCCGTTGTCTACGACTTAGGCCCAGTTTGGGGGCTGAAACACGTAAGCATTTGTTTTTGTGCTGCTGTTATGCCTTTTTACACAAAGTACTGGATGGACCGGTCCCCTTGCGAGACCCGTTTTTTTACCTAGAGCTGCCGTTTGAATGGTGAAGCTGGCCAGACGCTGGTCAAATTCCAGCCTATACCTGCTTAATAGGGTGAAATTCAAGCTGTGGGTGGCCCTGATGGCTCCAACCAGCTCCACAAATGTCAAAGATATTGAAGGAGCCGGTGTTCTATCAAAGTTTGTGACAACGTTGGAATGTGTGAACAGTGACATTGTTGGAATCGATAAAATTGACATCTATGATACAGCTTTGATATAAAAGGTGATCCTTGATATCCTGCATGGGGCTGTGTGATACTCAAATGAGGACCATCAAAGGGTTCTTGGGGCAGGGACGCTGATGAATGAAGATTTGTTGGACTGTCTTATCTCCTGGGATGAGCCCGACCCCCTCCTGGTATTTAATGCCCACACCTGTGTCAGCAATGCAGCATACACGCTGGGATGGGGATAGGGACATGTGATGGAACCGTCTTCCTGTGTGATCATCTGTAGTGATGAGCTCGGGCGTGTTTGCAGCTCCATGTGCCGAGCCCGCCAGGAAGCTGACAGCGCCAATCACAGGTACTGAGACATTTCCCGATCTCTGCAGCTGCGGACCGGGAACATGTATCAGTACCTGTGATTGGCGCTGTCAGCTTCTTGGCGGGCTCGGCACGTGGAGCTGCGAACACGCCCGAGCTCATCACTAATCATCTGCACAAACCTAACTCACAAGCAGGAACAATGGTAACCTTGGTGACCTCTTGGACAGCTAGTTACCCCACACATGGAAATATGCCCCCAATTTACATTCGATGTGCCCATGTGCATAAGGCCTTTGCTCTCATTCTATGCAAGAATGTCAATATAACTTTATTAGACCCTAGAGGTGACAACACTGACAGGCTATGTCTAAATAAATAATACATCTCCAGTCCCTGGACGTTTTCAGTATTACAACTTATGTGACGTTTATATTATGGATATATAATGTAATTCATGTGGCTGTTCTTACCTCATTCTATTGCAGGTTCTGGGGAAAGGGCTGGGACACAGCTCACCATTCTACAAAGTCACGCTCACAGCCTGCAACTCTCCTTCTGCTCTACAACTCAGCCTGCAATCGGATTGGTGGAGAGAAACTACAGTGGCCGCCTATTTGTTCATACAGTTAGATAGTCGCGCAGTGATTGGCTCAGGAGATCCCATAAAACCCCCCCCAAAAAAAGTCTCCGCTCCGTGATTGGTAGAAATGTTGGTACGGGCGCTTTTATTTCATTCATGGCAGTGGCCGTGGTGTGATTGGTTGAGGTCACCTCTGGAACGCAAGTTCCCTGCACTGCGATTGGTGCACTCCTCCACTGGAACACAAGCACTATTTCCGGGTATCTAGCTCGCTCTGTGATTGGTGGAAGCAGGAGCTGGAACGCACGCTGTTTCCGGTTTTCTTCTGACAGCGCTGAGCGGCTCGTGTTGGGTCTCCATGCAACCGGGGAGGCAGAGGCAAGGTCAGCCGGGGCTGGAGGGGAGCTGATTTGGCTGCGGCACAGGAAGTTATAGACATGCATAGGTGTGGGAAAAGCAAACACACAAGACACTGTCATCAGTGACTTAGAGTGCCTTTTTAATAAATAATGATGGTGGTAAAATAATGGATGCTTCCTGCGAGTCCCAGCACATCTTTGGCCTCCTTTCATTGAGGTGTCACCACCAAAAATTGAAGGAGGCAGAGCTCTAAACCGCTGATGGAGACACATTGGGTCCAGTAAAAGCTTATAGGTCCTGATACAGGTCATGTGTTACAGCCGATGTCCTTCGAAGGCTGGCATCTTAATATAATTCATGCCTCATTCACACACCATTAATTACCAGCACTCCAGTCCTGATGGAGGAGCTGTGAGCCCCCGAAACGCGTCGGCTGTAACCCATAAACAGGTTACTTGTTGTAAATAAAATAGATACTTTTACAAACCTGTGGCGCGATCCTCCTTTTTATATGCTGTTTTTGCCACTCCAGGGACCCCAAGCGACAAAGAGCTGCCTTTAGGAATTCTATGTCAAGTACTTTCCACCTATCGGCGGGTTCAGCGCTCCACCAGAGCACTTCGTCTGTTACTTCAGTTGGGTGCGGGGATTGGCAAGTAACGGTGGCAGGAGCGTGACTCTTGGATAAGAATGGGACGCAATGGCTGCAGAGTAAATTAGATCGGGGTCACAGGGGACTCAATGTAAATCTAAGAATACACTTCTTGTATTGGTTCTCTTTCGGTCTGTTAAATATACCATTGCCAGTGTTTTGTTGTATGTTCTATTAAAGCGCACCGTTACACCCAAAAATCAGATTCTTCCAATGCACCCCTCTATGTATGATGGTTAATAATAACAGACATGTCGGGTGTAAAATGCTGTGATTGTGAAATACTTCCACTTGCAGAGCATTCACTTCCTGCTTTGTAAGTGCAGATTACTTTCGTTTTCCAATGCAATGCACACTGGGATTGCCTTGTCATCAGCAGAGCATTGCTGGGAAATCTCAGGGAAAGGCATTTTCCTCCCCTGAGATGATGTGCATGGTCACATGTCCTAGTCACATGTACCAGAAATCCGGGAAGTAATAGGAGATCTAGTAATCTGTCCTTAGTAAACATGGCCATGTCAGAAGACTGGGGAAAGAAAAGAGAAATAAGGAATGCACAGAATACAATGAGGACAGCTCTATATAAATCAGTAATGTCTCCATACATTGGGGGGGATGAGGACAGCTGTATATAAATCAGTAATGTCTCCATACATTGTTTTTATATCATCTGAGTTTGCCTTGTGAATGATAACGTGGCATCTGTGTTATAGGAATAAATGTCAGAATCTCCATATTAATGTCACCAACACTCCTCTCTAGGTCTCCATTGTCCTCTCCCATACCATGCTCCGCCTCCTTCTTGGCAACAGTCATAATGCTATTGGGAGAACACCCCGCAGGGCTGTGGCCAACATCACAGAACGCATCAAGCGGGATGAGCGGAGACAACGGCAGAGAGCTCAGCAGGAAGAGGGCGCTGCTCAGGTAACAGACAAAAACCCTTCGCTACATTAACTGCCTAACTGACTTTAGTCCGCTGGAGTGCCGTGTGTTATACAATATTGCCTTTTCTTTAAGAAAATACATTTTTTTAACCTTTTTGGCATCTCGCTGTTTCTGATTTTCTGTAGCCCCTGTGCAGCCACTTCCTGTCTACATGCATTTTAGTGATACTGCATGGCATTTCTCAGGGTAGGTTTCCTGATGGTGACAACAGTGGACCATGCTTGTGTGTTGAATAGTCCACTTGCTGATGTCTCCTGGGATATCCGGCATTCAAATCCCTGGAAGCAGCTGAATGAAATGTCAGTCGCCCCTTGGTGAGAATGAAGGCAGGGGCAGGGGTGGGTTGGTTTGGGGGAGTGGAGTGCTGGAGTTAGAAATGTTTCTATGGTATGTTTCTCAGCGTCCTTATGTCCTATGCCCTGTGTATACAATAACCTGACCCATGGACCTTAGACCGTTGCAGCAGAGGGGGAAGAAGGGACCAGTCTAAGAGCAAGTCGGCTCCGAGGTTCAGGTGAGTATAACGGTTTCATTTTCCTCCCAAGAAACAAACGAGCAGTTAACCCTTGCAGTGCTGGGGTAGGCTCACTGTAAGGGCTAGTACAATTTGTGCCCGGAGTTCTGCCTTGGGTCACCCCTCACTCCGACAGGCTTGCACTACGCTGTGTGACCGCTCCCCTGAAGACACTTTTGTTCACCGGTCACAGGCTACCTGACATCATCACGTACAGTGCAGGACTGCTGGTCCTCCATTGTACATGAGGATGGTGAGGGCCCTCGCCCATTCCAGAGTGTCAGAACAAAGAGGAGAGCACTGGCTGCCAGGGGAGTGAGGAATAAGGTAAATACTGCCCCTGGACTAAACAAAAATGTTACCTTTGGCATGTGTCAATGTTTGTGGTAAGGTCGGAAAGTTTTACATATTTTTTTTGAATCTGCATCTTTTGTAAAAATAATCCCTGATGATCCTGCCAAAAGGTCTCTTGATTTGGCACTTTCTGTAATAAGGTGAAAAACATTTCAGTTGTGCTCCTGCATCGTTACCGCTGTCACATGTAACCCTGATGGTACATGCGGCCATGCAGAAGCGCAGTGCATGACCATGGTCCACCTTTGTCACCATTGGGAAGCCTCTTTAGAGCAGTGATGTGCAGCTAACACTGGAGCAAGTGCACATAGACAGGAAGACTGGAGGAGATCGGCATGCCTAAAGTGCCGGCCCCATCACTAGTATCACTTTTGGTGGTTTCCAAAGCAGATCCTCAGAAGTGTTGACAGGGTTTCTATGATCTAACCTTACCTCAATGTTGTCTTCTCCCTCTCATGTGACAGGTCTCACAAGTTAAAGGTCAGCACTGGAAAGAGAAAGAAGTGACCAAGTATGAAATCTCCACCGTGCCAGGGGACAAGAAAGGTCAGCGGGCGTATAATAATAAAGCGGACCTTGCAGCTAAAATGCCACATCCGGTTTTTAAATGGCTCCTCCCCCTTTCTGAAAAGCAGCATAAATATTTATTAAAAACCTGTATGAGGGAAATAACTTAGTATATTGTCCTTTTCTCCACCTCCTGGCCGCACCGCCTTGTTAAGGGTGACGTCATCCTCCGTCCCACGAGACGGCGGAGAGTGTAGATTACTCCCAATCACTGAGAAGACCCTCCCAGCACTGTGCTGCAGTCTCTTCTCACCAGATTAGGAGGGCTCACCATTCCCTGGAATCTTGTCAGCAGGAGGATGATGATGGTTCAGGGGCGGTCAGGCTAGGGAGGAAAGATTTAGGAGATGCAGGACATCCAGGAAATGAGGCAGTCTCTGACTTGCTGCAGCTTCTAATTCATCCTGTATGAAGCTCACAGTGTGCACTTAAATCATTTCTGTGCAGGAGAGGAGCCGGTACAACTGAAGGTAAGGCTCCTCTAAAGGTAAGTTCCTTTATCTCTCCCCTATATATGACTTGGAGCCTAAACATGGCTGTGTGTCCAAATGGCCAATCAACAAGCATCGGTGATGTCATGTGGGAGGTAGAGTCACATGCTCCCCCATACCCAGAAGTACTAGGTATTTATTTTGTTCAAGGAGAATTATGAGGGGAGTGATTTTTACTCAGCCTCATAATCTGAGCCAACCTGTGACAATGAAACCGTCACAGGTCGGCTCAGTAGATCGAGAAGTGAGCGAACACATACAGGCGCTCGCTCACTTCTCGATCTATCCGTGCAGAGAGTCGTGACTGTCACTCAAGGCTCCCTGCAGGGATTATCCCCCCTCCCCGCTCCGATTCTCCAGCGCTGACTGGCGGAACGAACGGGGGAGGGGGCAGGTACAGCTGGCTCTGCCTCTAGATAGGCAGAGCCAGCTGTCACTCACACAGCGTGGTGGATCAGACAGTATTGTCGGGATCCGTTCCGGCAGCGGCGTCTCAGTATATGATATACTGAGCTTAGGGTGACGGTAGGACGCTAGTTTGTGTCCTCCCGTGACCCTTAGGAGAACTATGGGGAAAAGCCCTAATAGTTCTCCGTCAACGAAGCAGTGGTAGCGTTAAGTTAGGGAATGTTTAAAGAGACACTGTCACCAGACCAAACATTTCTACTAGAGTCTTCCTACTAGATAATTTACCTGTAAAAGCCTCCCTTGTGTGGACACCCAAAAGCCCTGAGACTGCTACTGGGCGCCACCATCTTGGATGTGAGGTCAGCAGACTCAGAGCTGTTTAAGTGAAACTCTATAGTATTCTGCGTCACCCCTCTCTCAGCCACTGCATAAAAGGTTATGTGGTGTGGGAGGTGAGGGGCAGGTGAGCTGGGCCAGCATAGACAGTAATTTGACACTCTCAGAAGAGGAGAAGGCTATGATGTGCAAGGCGGGAGGGGGCTGTGCTCGGGAATTGATTCTCAAAGCTACTGAACTGTAACTTCACCTCTACACTGCTTACACCCGCATGTACATTAACTGCAGTCCAGATATACAGTATATGTGTCAGTTGTGTTTGCAATTTTTGCATTTATTAATCTATGCCTATTTGTTTTCAGATACAACATGTCCGCTGCCCTCCTCCTACAGCCCACACTATGTAGAAGCTGCCTGGTATGCTTGGTGGGTGAAGGAAGGTTTCTTTAAACCAGAGTACCAGGTGAGGATGCTGAAGGACTAGCATTTGGTCCACACCATTCATGGGAAATATTAGATGCCCAAATGGGTTTCACTGCTAAATATGTTGTGATATTTCTTCTCTATTGTAGTGGTTATGTCACATCAAATGTGAAATCAATGTGGACCAGATAACTTTATGTGGAGTTCTCACTGGTAATCTTAAAGAGACCCTGTCACCAGACCATTCAACAATCTTCCCATAGGGTTATATGTGCACTTAGCCTGTAAAAGCCTTCCTTGTGTAGACATCCAAAAGGTCTGAGGCTGCTTCTAGGCGCCTTAATGTTCAATCTGATACAAAAGCAAAAATGTCCCAGCACACTCACCAGTCAGCCTGCAAAAAAAAATGACACTATCTAACTACTAGGGTTAAAAACAGAGGTTTTAGTTGCACAACTTTTGCAACATATGTGGAAGCCGCACTGCCTTCTCAAGGCCCTTCTGTATAGTGCGGTCCTAACTCTAATCTATGAGAGCCTCCATCTTGGAGCATATATAGCAAAGAATGGATTTGGTGCAAGTTTGACAGGAGGTAGCCGAACCTCCTTAAAGGTACAGGGACAGACCTGAAGCCCAGCACATCACAATGGCAGCTGAAACCAGTAGTGGTGTGTCCACTGTACCTTTAAGGAGGTTGTTTTTCACTCTACAGTGTATGATAGATCTGCTAAATAGCCACCAAGCCTGTGTTTGCATTGAAACCAAAGCATACAAAAGACAGAGTAGTCAGCCGATGGGAATTGCTTTGAGCAAGATAACTTCTCTGGTGCCATAAATGGGAGCGTACAGGTACAGTATGTACTACTTGAATTCATGTGTTTTTACCTCTGTCACAGCATCAGTCAGTTTACTTGAGATACAGAAAAATAAAAAAACAACTGGACATTTCCTTTCTTTCTAGCTCTGCAATCGGCAAAGCTAATGCTCCCTGCTGATTGGAGTTCTAGCTTTGGCCCAGCAGGGAATATGTCAGACCTCTGCAGATAGACCACTGCTTCCCTACAGAGAGCAAGGGTCCTTCTCTGCAGTATGCTGGCAAGGGACAGGTTTTTCTACTCGGGCTGTGAACTGTAAAAAAAAATTAATGCACTTGGAATGCATTTAGCTGATTCAACCTGAAAGTTCAGTTAGGCTTTAAGTATAAAGTAGGAACATTTACAGGGTTATTCACAAAAGGGTGAAGAGTTTGGAGAAGGCGGGAGAAGTGAACAATCTAGGACAACATAGCTGAACTGGAAGAATTATCCAATTCAGCTCACTTTCCAGTTCAGCGATGTTGTCCTAGATTGTTCACTTCTCCTGCCTTCTCCAAACTCTTCACCCTTTTGTGAATAACCCTGTATGTTTCAGGTGTTGCATTCCCAATCATGTAATCATTTTTCCTTTACAGAGTCGTCTCCCTCAGTCAACTCCAGAGGTCTTCTCTCTCTGCATTCCTCCACCAAATGTCACTGGTTCTCTTCACCTTGGACATGCTCTTACTGTGGCTATTGAGGACTCTCTCGTTCGCTGGTGAGGGCTCCTTTCCACTGTAGCAGTTTGCTTGAAGTGTGTATATAGGAATTTGTGTCTGTGCAGCCAAAAGAGCATCTGTGAGGTCAGATACTGATTATTGAAGAGGAGATCTGGCTGGCAACCAGCATATCAATTCATCCCAAAGGTTCGTACACACTAAACTCTTCATTCCTTGTTTATATGGAGCTGGGTTTGTGCACAGGGGACCATCATGCTGGAACAGAAAAGGACCTTCCCAAAACCGTTGCCACAAGGTTGGACAATTGGCACACAATTGTCTAAAATGTCTTGTATGTCATGTATGCAGAAGCATCAACAGTACGCTTCATTGGAAACGCCTGAGCTCAATATTTGGAGGAGCATCTGCATACCTTTGGTCATAAAGTAGGTGTGATGGTCAGAGGACCACAGAATTTTGGCCAGAAGCAAAACCTTTGGCCACAAGCCAAGTCTGAAGCCCACTGTGCAAACACCATTATATTGTGCTGAACTAGATGACTGACTTTATATTTCCTGCAGCACATTGAACTTTGCTGGATCTTCTCTCTTTTAGGAGGAGGATGCTGGGTCAAAAAGTTCTCTGGGTCCCCGGGTCTGATCATGCTGGAATCGCAACACAGGTAAACGATGATTTGTTATTTTAATCCATATACATTGTATATCTATTATCAAAAGTCTCTGAAAATGGGTGTTTCTATATTCCTGTACCAACCAGACATATGCCATCTGTCTTTTTGTCAGGGCAGATTAGATAATGAAATGAAGAATCCATTTTCCTTGCAGACAATTTTGAGAGTTCAGCTGGGCCATACATAGATGCAATTTCAGTAGTTTCCTGCTGAATTGGCTGAAATTCAATCTGTTGGAGGCCCTACCAGCAGTCGGGTGAAAATTGTCAGCTGAAAAGTGACTGTAGCCCATCATCTGCAGTCACTTTTCAAGTATGGGTGCCGGGTATCAGAATACAATAGCCAGCAAGGGAGATTCCTCTATAGATAGACATTGCTTAGAGAGGATGGGGGAAATCAAGTGATTAGTCTTGCTCTGCACATGGGGCTGAACGGGAACAATCTTAAAGGAGAACTATGGGGTCAGTGTTTTTCCCCATAGTTCTCCTTAGAGTAACGGGAGGACACAAACTAGCGTCCTCCCGTTACCCTAAGGTCAGTATACCACGAGCTACAGCTCGCGGTATACTGAGACGCCGCAGCCGTAGCGGATCCCGAATTAGACGACGGGATCCGCCCAGCTGCGTGACTGACAGCTGGCTCTGCCTATCTAGAGGCAGAGCCAGCTGTACCCGCCCCCTCCCCCGTCCGTTCCGCCAGTCAGCGCTGGCAGATCGGAGCGGGGAGAGGGGAATCCATCCCCTCCCCTGTCACGGCAGAGAGCCATGACAGGATCGAGAGGCGAGCGAACCCGGTATGTGTTCGCTCACCTCCCGATCTACTGAGCCGACCTGTGACAGTCTCATTGTCACAGGTCGGCTAGAACTATGAGGTGAGTGAAAAGCAGTCACCTCATAGTTCTCCTTTAAGGTGTAGGACCAGCTTCAGTCCTGTCATTTTGTCTTTTAGGCCGTGGTGGAGAAGAAATTATTTAAAGAACAAGGACTTTCCCGCCACGATTTGGGCCGAGAAGTATTCCTAAAGACCGTCTGGAAGTGGAAGGAAGAGTAAGTGGCAGGGACATGTTTTTTTTTTTTTTAATTGAACTTCAAAGATCAGTTGGTGACTGGGCCTTTTTTTTTATAGGCGTGTAGCCTCTTAGAACACAAATATGGCAGCTGATGTTGCTGGTGTTTTGTTTTTCACGTGTATCAACCCAAAAAAATGAAAATGTAAGCATATGCAGCTTACCAGTCCTTAGATGTGGTGGCTGCGTTAGTTTTTTATTTTTTTCAGTTTTTTCCCTTTATTTTAGAAACGTATAAGGCTGTGGCCATACACCTATCATTTTCTTTTCGTTCAACCTGCGGGCTGAATGAAAAAAATTGACGCAGTTTTTCCATCAACACAAACAGTGTGTCGATCGAGGAATCACTGCTGTTTACATTGTATTATGACAGGTGCCGGTGGCACGTGTCAGAATGCCCAATCAGAGCGGGCACCTCATTGGCTGCCGGCTCTGATCGTACAAAGGTTTTCCAGCCGGCTCCTTCGATCAGCTGATTGAGGAATGCTGACTGGAAGGGAGCCGACAGCACCACACACTGTGCGAATTTCGGCCTGTACATTAAAAACCGGACGAAATTCAGCCAGTGTATGGGCACCTTAAAGGAGAACTATGGGGTTAGGGCTTTTCCCCATAGTTCTCCTAAGGGTAATGGTAGGACAAAAACTAGTGTCCTCCCGTCACCCAAAGCTCGGTATACCGCGAGCTACAGCTCGCGGTATACTGACACGCCACAGCCGGAACGGATCCCGACAATTATGTCTGGATCCACCCAGCTGTGTGAGTGACAGCTGGCTCTGCCTATCTAGAGACAGAGCCAGCTGTACCCTCCCCCGTCCGTTCTGTCAGTCAGCGCTGGAGAATCGGACAGGGGAGGGGGGAATCCAGCCCCTCCCCTGTCACGGCTCTCTGCCGACACAGGATCGAGAAGTGAGCGAGCGCCGGTATGTGTTCGCTCACTTCCCGATCTACTGAGCCGACCTGTGACAGTCTCATTGTCACAGGTCGGGTCAGATTATGAGGCTGAGTGAAAATCACTCGCCTCATAAGTCTCCTTTTAGAGTGAGGGCAGGAAAAGACCAAGTGGTCCGTTGAGTCTGCCAAATGTTTCTTTTTTTTGTTTTCTTTGTTTTAAATCCTTTTGGTGGAGTATAGATATATGTTATCACAAACATTTTACATTCACTTACTTTTGACTATCTATCTCTGCTGAAAGATTGCTTCAAGCATCAACTACTCTATTGGTAAAATAATACTTTCTAAGGTTAGATGTGAACTTTCCTCCTCCCAGTTTGAGGTCATGTCCCAGAGTTCTGGATGTTAGCTTCAAATTCCCATTAAATACGTATTTTTTCCTTCTAGGAAGGGGGACAGAATTTATCATCAGCTCAAATCTCTTGGCGCCTCGCTTGACTGGGACCGAGCCTGCTTCACTATGGATGAGGTACACGCTGAACCTTGTAGTTCTCCTAGCTTTGTTCTTTGTTTTTAGGATAGAGAACCTGTTTCTGATTCCTCTGTTACTTCCTTTTTATATAATTTGGGATATTGTCCTCAGTTTGCTATGCAATTTCTTTTCTTTGAGCTATGGTTATTTCCTTTACTGTATCCATCGTTTGCTCTACCACTTTTTGTTGGGTGATCTATATACCAAAGAACCTTTATGTTATGCTGAATAAAGTTCCCTCTGACATTGCCCTCACTCCAATTGAACTGATGTTCGTCCACGATGCAGCTCAGTGAAACCCCGAAACAGACCAAGGTCATGCAGAGGAATATGAAGACCATAATTATTTTTAATATGAAGCTCTGTCCATGTAACACCAGAATAAAAAACAAAACAAAACATGGAAAGAAAGGCATTAAAGTGGATCTCTTAGCTCACATCTCAATACGCATGAGCTGTTTACCTGCCAAAGTATGTGTGATTTTGTTCAGCTACTGTGACTCGCACATCTCTGCTGCGCTGCACATCCAGGAAAAGATGACACTTCTTTTTCCTAGTTCAGCTTTGCAGCTTCCTGTGTCACCTTCCCATTCTATTAAACACTATCGATTCATTCCCCAACGAGCAATCAAGGTGACAGAGTTGCAAGGCTGAATGAGTAAGCCCGTGACACACTGCACGCAAATCCGTGTAGAGCGAAGCAAAGCTGTACGGCACGGAGCTTTGCGTGCAGTGTGTGAGCTGAGTGCAGACAGATGATTGACTGCACCTTCAGCCAATCGGCTCATGTGTAACAACCGGCCAGACGTTGCAGCCTGGCGCGCGAGTTTACACGCGTGAGCAAGCTGACGGAGGCAGTGCACCACCGCTCCGCGCTGTTTCTGGCAGATCCCTGAGCAGTCAGTCACGCGTGCTGCAGAAAAATAGTTTTATACATCAATACACAGCTTATTAAGCTCTGAGCAGCGCTTTGCTTCTTGCTAAAAATAAGAATAAGCTATAGGATCACCGAGTGATAATGTCACTTCCACATGTTTCCCATACAGTCCGCTTTGCTTTTAGTATTCTAAAGGTGCCCATACACCTTAAGACTTTTGTATTGCGATGGATCGTAAGCTTATTAAAAGCTCGTATGATCTGCCCATCTTGGACAGGCAGATCGTACTTGCGATCATCGAAAGCCCGCCCCGCTGAGGGGGGGGGCTTCCGTTGCCCGCAATGCAGAACGGGCAATGCACACCGGCCCGTTCCGCAGCTATCGAACGAGCAGGCTAGAAACCCGCCCACAATCGTACGATTCTCGGCGGGTTTTCGAACATGCTGGTTCGACAAAAGACGTGCGACCGTACAGTAGAAACGGTCGCACGTCTTCGTTCACACTGCTCGATTCTCGTACGATCGCGGGATTTCCTGCGGTTCTCGTACGAGAATCGAGCATGTATGGGCAGCTTTAGGATATACATTTTTGTGTGTGTGTGACAATGGTTGTAGCTCCCAAAATCAGATGGACCTAAAATGTACAATAATAGTTAGAAGACATTAAAGGAAAATAGAGGAGGAGAAGGACCACGTAGAAGGTGACACACTTGAACTTTGTTTTATTGTTGTTCTGTTTGTGAGTTTTCTTCTCCCTGTGTCCAGGGTTTCTCCCGGGCCGTGTCTGAAGCATTTATTCACCTCTATGAGGATGGCTTAGTCTCTCGTCGACGTCGGCTGGTTAACTGGTCCTGTGCCTTGCGCTCAGCTATATCTGACATTGAGGTGAGAGTTCTAGAAATCTAAAACATGGTTTGTCTTCTGTAAAATGCTGCAAAACAGTTCCTTTCATTCCTCTCTCTTCATTCTACCCCGCACCCCCCTGATCTCCCACTCTCACCCCTTTTCTTTTCTCTCTCTCCTCTTTCTCTCCCCCCTTTCTTCATTTCTTCTTTCCTCCTTTCATCTCTATCTCTCTCCCCTTCTTTCTTCTCTCTCTCTCCTTTCTTCTCTCTCTCTCTCATTTCTTCTCCCCTTCTTTCTCATTGTTTCTCTCTCCTTTCCTGCTTCTCCTCTCTTTTTTCTCTCTCTCTCTTTTCCCCTCACTCTCTCCCCATTTATTTTCAGTTTCTCACATTCTCTCTCTCCCCCTCCCCCCTTTCTTCTCTCTCTATCTCACCCCCTTCTCCTCCCCCCTCTCTCTCTCCTTTCTTCTGTCACGCTCATCTCTTCTCTCTCCTTTCTTCTCTCACTCTCATCTCTTCTCTCTCTTTTTTTCTCTTTCTTTTCTCTCTCTCTCTCTCTCTCTCTCTCTCTCTCTCTCTCTTTTTTTCTCTTTCTTTTCCCCTCACTCTCTCTCCCCTTTATTTTCAGTTTCTCACATGCTCTCTCTAATTTCTTCCTTCCCTCTCCCTCCCCCCCCTCTCTCCCTCCCCCTGACTATGAAGTGAGCAGTTATGGCTGCCCCAAATTCATACATATTCCAAACTATACACTAAAGTTTTTTGTTTTTTCTTCTTGTTATGTTAACACTAGCTGTTACAATATTCACATTAAGCTGATTTCTTGTATATTAATATATCAAAATAAGACACTGAAAGGACAAACATTTCCTTTAAAGCAGAACTCTGGGCAAAAATGTTTTTAACCTTTGCAGTGGGGCTACCCCCCCACTGCAATGTTTGAGTGCTTGTTTTGTCTATGTGCTGTACTCACCTGATCCTTCAAGCCAGCTTGCTCTTAGATCAGTTCCTGGAGCCTCTCTTCCCCTCTGCAGCAGCGGCCTAGGGATCCTTGAGTCATCACGTTCTATACACAGTGTATAGGATGCGAGGACACTGAGGGACATACCATCGCTGTAGCGGAGAAGGAGACAGGCTTCAGGGACCAGAGTAGTAGCCAGCTGGCTCCACGGCTCGCATAAGTTGAAAAACCGACAATTTTGCCTGGAGTTCTGCTTTAACAAAAGTGAAAGGATACTGGATATCCTGGTGAGTTGTATCACAGTTTAGTTTTGCAGCCATAACTTAGCTCTTCATTATTGTGTAGGAGACATCTCGGTTTTATTGTACAGCATGCATTGTGCTCTGTGTTCTCTGGTTGCAGGTAGAGAACAGACAGCTGACCAGTAAAACATATCTTACTGTGCCGGGATATCAGAAGAAAGTTCCGTTTGGTCTTTTGTTCAGGTTTGCTTATCCCACAGAAGGTGCAGGTAAGATCTCTAACATGTTTCACTGCTTTTATGTTTCCTTATTTAGTTGCATTGTTACATTTTCCATCCATGTACTTTCCCTAGATGATGAAATCACGGTGGCCACCACACGTCCGGAGACCATGCTAGGTGACACTGCTGTGGCCGTCCATCCAGAGGACCAAAGATACCAGGTCAGCTCCCTACCTTACATGCAGTTAAGAAAGACCTGAACTCCAAAAGTGAACATTTGCTATATTATAGTGACCATCTATAAATGTTAATTTTGCCTAAGAAGTAACCTGAAAAATGAATTCTTTCCGAAAGACAGCAGAGCATTTCCTGATACGTGAGGTGCCCAGACTCTCCTGCTCCTACAGCCTCATAGCTGTTTACCTACAGTGTGAGTTCTAAGGCAATGCCTCTGACTGCTGGTCTCAGGAGATTTGGAGAGTTCACTATTGCGCTGATTATGGTTCTCCTGACACGAGGAAGCAAAGCCCTGCCTCTTCCAAGATTTCCGCCTGCACAAAGAGACACAGTGCAGAACAAGGCGTGGCAAGTCAATCATTGGAAAATATATGTTGCAGTGAGACCACAGGCAAGACTACTTCTTTGCCCTCTGCCTGGTCGGTCTGGTAGTGTTTTTCATGCAATTTGACCTGAATTTTATCCTTTATTCAGTTCGTGAAGCTTCAAGGAAACTTGTTGGGATAGGAATATGGAAGCTGCCATTGCTGACTTGGGGTAGATAAGTACAGGAATGTGTTGCTCACTTGATCAACAGATGAGGTCTTCATTAGTTTGGAAGCCGCAGTGACACGCTGGTTACTAGGGAAGCTTTTATGATATTGGTAATAACCAAATTCTGATATATTTGCAACAGCCTTCACATGACCCTGACCTCTCTGCAAATAAATGAACACTCTTTGTATGAAAACCTGCATCAAAAGTCCTTGTTAAATATATTTTCAGATGCCTAGATTTATTAATCATCTTCACAGAAATTCCATGGAAAGAATCTTTTTCATCCCTTCACTGGACGTTTAATCCCTGTTGTCACCCACAGCCTGGTCAACCCTGAGTTTGGCACAGGTCAGTATTGTGTCACCTGGTGTTTTGTCACTAGAAATGAGGGATCCACACTCATTTCAACGCATATCTCTAATGACAGTTTGCCGGATAGCCATCTGATTTCTGGTGAGAATCATCTTATCACAATCATGAATGTGTATGTTTGTGACACTCTTTTGTATTTTCTTCTGCCTGTAGCTGTCAACTAAGGGGAAAAAATGAGATGTAGTTGGCTGCTTATGAACGGTACAGATGTATCTTTGACATGTATTTCAGGAGCTGTAAAGGTCACCCCTGCCCACAGCCTGGTGGATTTTGAGATGGCGAAAGATCTGGCATTGCCTTTAGTTTCTGTGATTGGGGAAGATGGGACAATGACCCAGGCCGGCGGAGAGTGGATCCAGGTAAAGGATATTCTGTTCATTTTGTGTTTTTAAGATATTGTTGTTGTCTCTGTATCCCTTGTGGAATGTGTGTAGGTCAGTCACAGTCTCCACCAAGCCCTCGCACATCACTGTCCATTAATACCAACATATTGGTTGGCAAATTTAAAGGAGATTGTGCATTCAAATTGTAACATGTGGCCAGCTTTAGACTATACCTCCATACATCATCATAATGTGTTCTGTCTGTCAGGGTGTGAAGAGATTTGATGCTCGAGAGAAGCTTGTGGCTGCACTAAAGGAGAAGGGGCTATATAGAGGGGACAGCGAACACTCCATGGTACTTCCTGTCTGCAGGTAGGATTGTCCTTCTTCTATTACTCTAAGGCCTGGTTCACACCTGTACGTTTTGTAGCGCGTTCAACGCTCTACGAACGCTCTACAAAACGCTCAAACATGAAAATCCCATTGTTTTCTATGGGTATGGCTCACACCTTGCCGTATTTCAGCCGGTCTGAACGCGCTATAAAACGGCCTATGCCTGAAAAGGTACATGAGCTTCTTTGCGGCGTTTTTGTTGCGCGTTTCCATTGGGATACAGCAAAGTAGCCCTCGGAAACACGCGTTTGTCGGGCGTTTTTTTTTACCGCGAATCACGGTAAAAACGCGTGTCACGAAACGCGGATATTCGATATGCCTAGGTGTGAACAGAGCCTAATGGAACTAGTGTAGAAATTTACATTCACTCTCCAGTGCTAACAGCAATATTTAATTGTGATATGTTAGAGTGGGATTGGGATGCACTGATACAATTTTTTCCAGACCGAGTAGATCTCTATGTGTAGAGCAACTTGGAGATAACGCCACCCTTTAGCTCGTAGGATACATATCAGTATTTATTGTTTGGATCCATTTGTAAGGGCTAACGTCTTCAACCGACAGTATATACTGTCTTATTACCACCTGGACTTTATCAAAGTGGCATCTCCGTTGAGACGTGCCACTGGAGGCTCTGTTATGCTTATTATTGTTGTCTTTTATGTTTTTAATGCAAATTTATATTTAACATTTTTAACATGCTTTAATAAATGATTGTTTTAAGTTAGAATTATTTTGGTGCACCCGGATAGCCCATTTATTTGTAGAGTTCTTGTTTCTTGCTACCAGACAAGTTAAAAGAAAAAAAAAGCCTGGATATGCTAAACGAAGAGAGGGAGGTTTGGGGAGGGGGGGAGGAATGTACGTCATGCCTATGTTTTAACATTTCATCTCTGCCTCATTTTCTTTTCTGTATCTGGCAGCCGCTCTGGCGATGTGATTGAACATTTATTGAAGAACCAGTGGTTTGTGAACTGTGAGAAGATGGCTCAAAGGGCTGTACAGGTGAGTCGGGTTCACTTACACATTTCTACCTTGTTACTGTCTGTGTTTGATGTTTCTCATACGTATTCTGCCTACCTTTTTATTTTTCCCAGGCTGTGGACTCAGGACTGTTAAAAATCACTCCATCCTATCACCAGAAGAACTGGAGGAATTGGCTCTCAAATATAAGGTGTTCCATGTGTCTTAAGATAGCCATACTTAATTTCCATCTTAGGGATCTCCACTACCATCTATTGTATTGCGAGGCTGCCTGCATACAGCACGGCTACCGAACAGTGACTGAATGTTATAGGAAGCAGTCACTGTTATGCTGATAGCTTTCCACCTGGCTCAGCTGATTTTGACACTTTTATCAATCTGGGTGGTGCATACATGACCATGCACAGCTTGAAATTTGAGCTGAATATGGGCAGCCTAAAATCATACTCTGCTCAGATTTATCTGATTCATGCTGAATCAACAGAAATTCAAGCTATCGGTGGCCCTGCCAGCACCCAGTAATTGGAGTCGGATAGAGATTAACCACTCTCTAACAAGCTAAAAATGTTCAGTCCCATATTCCTTTAAAAGTCTTGAAATCCTTTTATATCATTGTAATTACCCTAAAGGAGAACTATGAGGTGAGTGAAAATCACTCATCCTCATAGTTCGAGCTGGCGTGTGAGAATGAAACTGTCACAGGTTGGCTCAATAGATCGGGAAGTGAGCGAACACATAGCGTCGCTCGGTCGCTTGTCGATCATCTCCCTGCAGAGAGCCGTGACTATCAGGGCAGGGATTCCGCTCCGATCTCCCAGCGCTGACTGGAGGAACGGACGGGAGAGGGGGCGGGCACAGCTGGCTCTGCCTCTAGATAGGCAGAGCCAGCTGTCACTCACGCAGCTGGGTGGATCTCGACAGCATTGTCGGGATCTGTCCTGGCTGCGGCGCTCTCAGTACACCACGAGCTGTAGCTCGCGATATATTGAGCTTTGGGTCACGGGAGGACGCTAGTATATGTCCTCCTGTGACCCTTAAGAGAACTATGGGGAAAAACACCCCATAGTTCTCTTTTAAATTTGTTATTTTACTGGATTGCAATGCATACACTTAAAATTGGTCAGCAGTAGTGTCTGCTCTGTAAGATGATGGGAGGGACTGGAGGAACTGACTAGCATTGTTTAGGCTTTCAAAAATCATATTCCAGACATCCACAATACATGCACAGTTCTTCTTTTTGTTGCTGTTTAAAAACTCTGCAAGTACAGAAAAATATCTGTCATCCTGCAAGGAATCCAGTGAGCTCCTAACTTCCTGCACATGCTGCATTTACTGTTCACCTAGGTAGAGTACAGAACACCTCCTCCTAAGCTATGGTTAAGAGGACAGCAGGAAGTGTTCTGTTGTCCTAATGTACTTTCTATCCTAGGGTGAAACTTCTGCTCCTCCTTAGATATGGTACAGTGAGCGTTGTCACCCTAGGACTGCAAGTGTGTTACTGGCAGGATCACCAGGTAAAACTAAAGGAAAAAAAACCTGAGAAATAAAACGAATGCAGCCGCCACATCTAAGGATTGGCATGCTGCAATATTTTGCTTTTGACTTCAAACTTTTAACAAACGATTTGTTTCTTCTCTTTTGAAGTGACTGGTGTGTGTCCCGGCAGCTATGGTGGGGACATCAGATTCCTGCTTACCTTGTGACTCTTCCAGATATGCAGGTAAATGCATTTTAAATGAAGGCCAACAGTGTTGAGTTTGAACGGTCTTGTTTTTGCACTTGTCCACACGCTTTAGAAATATCCACATTCTCAGGACGCGACCTCTGACTTGTTCTACTTTCTGTCCCTAGATCACTGATAAGAATGAAGGATTCTGGGTAGTTGCTCACACTGAGGAGGAAGCCAGGGAAAAGGCCGCTAAAGCATTGGGAAAGTCGGAGAGTGAGCTCAGCGTGAAGAGAGGTTAGGATTGAGTTTTCTGTCTCTGAACTTGTACTTTTGGGTGCATTCCCTTTCTGTAGCTGCTAATCTGTGCAGTGTCTAAGGCCCCTTAAAGGCTCATTCACGCCATCCCCATTGGCCTGCATTGGGCGGCGTTGCCCAGCGTGGTCCCAACACTTTGACAAGACAATTTGGTCTTATGTCATATTGTTTCAGTTACCAATGTGCTGCGTATGTGTGTGCTGAAAAAAGTAGGATAGGTTGCATTTTTATGCAGTTCAGAATGTTGCAATATGCTTCAACGCATTGCAATGCTCACCAGTGGGTGCATGTTGTACATGGGCATACCATGTGTGCTCTGGTGTGAATGGGCGGAAAACTTGGCACATACCAGCTGGCTTACTGGAGGTGTTTTTCCTTGTTGGTGCTTCCTGGATTCTGGTTCCTCGCGGCCCTTTCTGTATTAGCCAGGTGCGGGTGGTTGCTACTCTGCAGCAGTGGAAGTCCTCTTGTTCCTTTTTTTGGCAGTTCACCCTCATTTTTCAGCATGTTGGCTCCATCTTTAAACCCAAGTTTCTGGAGACTGGGTGATAAAGTATTTTAGGAGCCTGGCAGACAGTTCCCTGTATTGATACACAGATTGCTTGCACTTGGCTATACTGGTAATTACTGTATCTGTAATATCTTGCAAATGTCCATTCAATCCTATTCTTCCCTAATGCGAAAAAGAAAAAGGAATTGCTGTAACTTTGTATTACTTAAATGGCCTTTGCGGAATATTTTTTCTACTGGGACTTGTCCGATGTGTATAAGGCCACAAGGTGTCACTGCTCCTCCTCAGGCATTTCAGTTACTTTGCTGGATGGGATGGCATCTGATAGCGTTCTGATTTAAAGTCTTAATGTAAATATGAACTCCGGCCTTCCCTTCAGTCTTGCACAGTTTTACCGGCTCCTCTTCTGTACTGAAAGAATAATACCTCTTCTCTACTCCTCTTCTGTGTGTGAAATTTCACTGCACACTGTGAGCTTCTTAGAGCCCATTCACACCAGGGCGGTTGCGGATCAGCGCTGTTACTGCGCTGATCTCACAAGGGAGGTTTATGTTTATATTATATATATTAATGTTATATTGTTTAATATATGGAGCTGAATTGTTTCTCATTTTCTTAATCATCTCAGATGAAGATGTTCTGGATACTTGGTTTTCATCTGCTCTCTTCCCATTTGCCATGCTGGGATGGCCAGAAAATGTGAGTACTGTCCCGTTTTAGTGTGTTATGATTGCTGCTTTTGTCCTGGGTGTCATCAGATAGCTGGTAACAAGCATTCAGGTAATCTTGCATGGACATTATGAACAAGGCTGACTTTTCTTCTTCTTAGTATTTTATACTAATGTCCTATGCAGAGCCTCATCCCACACATCTAATCATCACTAGCAGACAGAGCTGATTAATCAGGAACATCAAGTGGACAGGCAAAATTAACCTTTCTAGACTATCCATCTAAGATAGCAAAACTTCACTTTTTGAGTATTGGTCCACTTTAAACTTTGGAGTGTTACTCTCACAGACTCGAGACCTGACGGAATTTTATCCCAACTCTCTGCTGGAGACGGGCAGCGATCTGCTTTTCTTCTGGGTGGCCCGAATGGTGATGTTAGGAGAGCAGCTCACAGGGCAGTTACCATTTAAAGAGGTAAGCAATAATAACACTCTACATTTATTATTATTATACAGGATTTATATAGCGCCAACAGTTTGCGCAGCGCTTTACAATATAAGGAAGACATTACAGTTACAATACAATTCAAGACAAGATGGTAAGGAGGGGCCTGCCCCTGAGGGCTTACAATCTAAAAGGGAGGGGCAAGTGATAGAGGTAGCTGACCATAATTCTTAATATAGTATTGGCAATCCTAAACCTACTTCTTGGGATGGCAGGACATCTATTATGCTGTCCAAAAATTATCTTATCTGACTCTGCCTCAAGGAATGCAGCAATCAGAGTTTCTTAAAGGAAATTTGGGGTGAAGGCACAGTTATTTTGTGATATCTGTGCCTAAGCACCAAGCAGTGCTTTATTTAGGGGAACAGCTGCAGCATAAGCAGACACAGCTCTTTTCTGTGACTGAGCTTGTATCTGACTGCTTCAAAACATTATGCATTATGGGGCTTCACCTAGTGAATGCCCAGATCTATAAAGGTCAGCAACTACTTGTAACATTACTTTATATGTACATTTTGAGGGATGTTTCCAAGTGTTCAAAATCTTAACCATGTCCTATAGTTATAGTAGGTGAGTTATGGAAGATAGGGTTAGAAATGGAGATTCCCCTTATTTATTACATGTATTTATATAGCACTGACAATTTAGGCAGCACTTTACATATTATTTATTCACATCAGTCACTGACTTCAAGGAGCTGACCATCTAAGGTCCCTATCTCACTTTCATGCATGCATAGTAGGGCCTATTCAGACAGCCTGCCTTTGGAGTGTGGTAGGAGATCAGAGTACCCAGATGAAGCCCACACAAGCACAGGGAAAACATGTAAATTCCATGCAGATCGGTAAGGACCCACGTGCTGCAAGGCAGATGTGCTAACCTCTAACCCACTGTGCTGCTAAGCCTTAATGTCATACTGCACACAAAACCACCATTTTCAATTGGCAGCTCATAGGTTCAGACATTAGGAACATATTTTAGCCCTCAGCTTGTTTCTATGCTTCATTCTGTGGAATACTTCGTGACAGAATATCACTGCATATGTGTTCAGGTATTTCTGCATTCGATGGTCCGAGATGCCCATGGGAGGAAGATGAGCAAATCTCTGGGAAATGTTCTCGATCCTCTGGATGTGATGACTGGAATAAGTCTAGAGGTACAGAGACATCTAGGAGAGGCTTCCGCTGACCGTCCTTGTTCTGCCATATCCTAACACTTCTCCTCTTTTATTTAGTGTTTGAAGGAGAAGCTAAAGGAAGGGAACTTGGATCCGCGGGAGTTTAAAGTGGCAGAAGCTGGACTGGTAAGGAAAGCCAGGTTAATGCAAAGTAAAATCATTATGTGTCTGAATTATTTAGATACAATATTTAATAATCTCTTCCCGCTAATGTAACACATATATGCGGCAGCATGGCTGGCAGGATCAACAGGAATGTTTCTGTGTATGTAACTGAATGTGCAGCGCTCAGGATCATCAGTGAGTGAATAAACTCAGTGTTGGTGTATTAAGCTTAATAAGTATTAATAATCGATAATAACCAGTGAATAAAAGTTTCAAATTGTGCACGAATCCATAAAATAAAATCTCAGATCTAAAATACCAATAATGCAAAAAGTAGCAAAGTGAAGACAAATAATCGTTAATGGGATGTGAGTCCAAAATTAGATAATTAGTGAATCAAAAAACTGTATAAATATATAAATAAATAATTTGTTGATTGAAAGTGGGTCAAAAAGTTTCAAATTGTGCACGAATACATGAAATAAAATTTCAGATATAAAATACCAATACTACAAAAAGTGATAAGTAGCAAAGTCAATAAGATGTGAGTCCAAAAATAGATGATTTGTGAATCAAAAACTGTACAAATATATAAATAAATAAATAATTCGTTGATTGGAAGTGAGTCAAAAATAGATAATTTGTGAATCCAAAATACTTTAAACTTTCAGTGTCTGCAACGTATTAGCAATAGAAATCCCACACCGCAGTGTCCACGTCTAAATCCCCTCTGGGGTGCGCCCTCACCAGACCAGTATATTCACAGGCAGAAGGGGATGATAATTAGTGATCCTCCAGACGTCTCGTCCTCACCGTATGGATCAATATTTAGTCACAAAGATATAAAAGGGACAAGAACTCATGGTGTAGTCGATAGCATGCTTTATTAAACACAACAAATAGCCACTTACATTTAAAATCGTTAAAAACGGCCGCTCACACGTCTGTGAGTAAAACCTCTGTACTTCCTGGTTGCGTGTGATATCGAGAAGTATAGCCCCGCCCCGACGCGTTTCGTCATACACAGACGTCTTCAGGGGGATCGCAGGTCTAACTTCCAATATCACACTACCATCAATTTATATACACAACTAGGTCAGTTTCCCACACAGCCACTAGATGTCCTCAGAGGACCATTAGAAGTCCATTTCTTGTCCAAGTTTAACCATGAACAATACACGTTCTTACTCATATATGAACGATTCCCAAAGAACCTTCGTTTAACATTAATTACAAGGCAGTGAGGTGCAATACAATAGGCGGTACGATGCAATAGAATACAATATAGAACACATTTAAAACAGAACTTATTTAAAACATAGCGCATTTAAAACAGAACGCATTTAAAACAGAAACACCCCAACACAATTCTTCTCAATACGGCCATTTCATTAAGCCATAATTTAAGATGCTGTTTCATTATCTAGCTGCCACCTCACTAACAAACAGCCCTCCCATAAGGAAATTTAGTTAATCATATTCATAACATACATCAAATATATGTTATTAGAATGGGTGTTATGCACACTATCAAAAATGGGTAAAATATCTCAAATGTGGGTAAAATATCTCATCAAAAATAGGGGGGGTTCCTTTAAGAACAGATTATTAAAATATATTTAAAATATATATAAAATATTTATATATAAAATTGATAAGGAAAGGACTGGATCATATTTAAAATTAGGTGATCATATTATACATAAAAAAGATTATTTATTGGTTAAAAAGCAATTTAGATCAAATTCAACATTTAACCCTTTTGGTGTTAGGGTGTCCAGCCTAAAAATCCATTTAGATTCGTTTTGAGAAACACTCTGGATGAGGTTGGTACCTCTCCAGTGTTTCTCTACACTATCAATCCCCGTAATTCTTAGCGGTCTTGGATCACAGTTATGAAATAATTTGAAATGTCTGGAGAGATTATGTTTCATAAAACCTTTCTTTATATTATTGACATGTTCTTCAATTCTTTTCTTTAGTTGCCTAGTTGTCCTACCAACGTATTGGAGCCCACAAGGGCACTCCAATAAGTAGGTTACATACCGACTATGGCATGATATAAATTTCTTAATTTGGTAACTTTTATTCGTTGTATTGGATTTGAAAACTTCTATTTTATTTCTAGTTTTGATACCTGTGGCCCTACAACCTATGCAGTACTTGCATGGGTAGAACCCGATGCCATTAAAAAGAGTCATATTTTTCTTTGGGGGATCTACTATGTTCTTAGCTAATTTCGTTTTAAGGTTAGGTACTCTCCTGTAGATCACTTTCGGTTTGCTTGGCAGAATCGGGCCCAGAGTCCTATCCTTTTTTAGGATATGCCTGTGACGGAATGCACCGTCACTGTGCTAGTTGGAGGGGGCTGCAGGCCGGCCTCTTACCCACCGATTATGGCCCAGCAAGAGAACAGGAGATTTTGGGGCTAAATGTACATTTTATATGCAGACAGTGACTGTTGCCCTCTGTGAAATATATGTTTTAAAATGGTGGAGGACAAGGACTTGGCCACATGGGTTGTCTATTCAAAATGGAGACTTAATTAAGTGAAGTCAGTTGCTCTTTCTATGTTGAACCTTCAACATGAGTTTTGCCTCGTGATTGGGGGTTAGGGGCTGGTTACTGCCAATCTGCTGGCTGAGAGAGGGGTTTGGCGGGCAGGAGACGCTCTTTGGCGGAGGTACCCAGTCGGGGTACCAGGCGGTCCGTCACATTGGTGGCAAGCGGTGGGATGTTTTCCTGCAGTCTGGGACATCCAAACCACCACCGGGATACAAGAACCGGAGAGCAGCAGAGGAGCAGTACGGGGACCAGCCAACATGGAAGAGGAGTTCGGAAGGAGGCTGCAAGAATTGCGGGAGCAACACGGAGAACCAGTATCGGAGCAAATCCTGTTCGGCTGGTATGATGTGGTACGCCAGCAACTCTGGCAAGAGGCGTTGGCCTGCGAGCAGCGGCACCAGAGGAAGAGTCTTCCCTCCTTCCTGGAAAGGTACTGGGTACAGTACGAGGCACGAGAGGTGCTACTAGGTGAACAACCGCCCGAAGAATGGACGGCAGAGCTGAGTGTCCTGGTCCAGGATGAGATGCGGCTGGACGACGGATACAGAGCCCTCCGGTGGCACGCAACCCAAGTGTACCCTGAGACAGCAGATGGCAGCCCGACAGAAGGCTTCAGCTACGGCAGCTTGGGGCTGCTATACGGAAAGCTGTCCGAGGACCCGGACTTTGGGAGTGACCAGGAGTGGCGGCTGGAAGACATTCTGGAGGTCCGAGATCGAGTGTTGAACCTCCCAGAATTAGAGTGGATCCAGGACGATTTGAGGTTCCTGGCCACGCACGAGTGGGCGCTCGAAATTGCCTACAAGCGGCTGCTCGACGGTGCTCAGCAGCCAGGCATGGCTCCCATTGCCTGGGACTGTCCTGGAGAAGCAGCGGACAGTCAGGAAGTCGTGGAAGTCGCAGAAGAGATTGAGCCGGAGGGGATCCTATGTTTTCCCTACCTAACCGCAGTGGAAGAAGCGGAGATCATACAAAGGGCACTGCGAGCGCTAAACCACCTGGACGAACCTGGTGTTGCCCAGGTCGAGCCAGAGAAGAGTGATGGGTCCGGATGGCCCGGGGAGAAAACCATTCTCCACTCCCCACAAGCAGACACGACCCCAGTGTCTGTCACCCCAGCAGAAGAACTGGCTA